TCTTTCAGGAAATCCTGGTTAGCAGCTTCCAGAGACAGAGCCTTTTCAGCTGCTCTCCAGTAGCAGGTCCCTTTCCCCCCCCCCCCCAGCATTTCATATGCTGCAATGCAAAGGGGCAAGGGCACCTTCAAGTAGCAGTACCAAACCAGCATGGCCTATTTGCTGGAGTAGGAACTTGCCAGGAAATGAGTGGTGACGACAATTTTTGGTTTGGTAAGTCCCCTGATTACCAAACCAAAAATTCTCACCACCACTCATTTCCTGGCAAGTTTGGCAGTCCCCTGATCAGTGATTCAGTGGCTTAGTGGTTAAGACACCAATTCTATGATCACAAGATCAGATGGTTGGCAGTTTGAGGCCCAAATACCACACAATGGAGTGAGCTCCTGTCACTAGTCCCAGCTTCTGCCAACCTAGCAGTCTGTAAGCATGCAAATGCAAGTACATAAACAGGTACCACTTCAGTGGGATGGTAACAGAATTCCATGAAGTCATGCTGGCAACATGATCACAAAGTTGTCTTTGACAACTCTGGCTCTTCGGCTTAGTAATAAGAGATGAGCACTGCCCCCTACAGTCGGTTATGACTATACATTCCTGTCAAGAGGAAACCTTTACTTTTAAGTCCCCGATTGACTCAAGATCCCTGATGAAAGATAATCTTCATTTCCTTGCCTATACACAAGGATTTGGCAGAGTTCTTCTGTGATAGTTTCTTTAGTTATTTTGAGTAAAAAAGCAGATAGCTGCCAGGAAAAGAAAAGTGTGTCCTGATTATCTCCAAGGTCTAACTCAGTGGTCCCCAAAATTTTTCAGGCTACTTCCCCCTTTCCTCTTGGGTGACAACCATAGCACACACACCCATGCCTATTTCTTGGTATTAGGTCCACTGTTCTACTGCGGGGGGGGGGGGGGGGGGGGGGAAGGGGAATAGAGAAAGTATCCTAAGCAAGGGAAGTGACTGCTTTTGGGTAATTTTGCAAATGAAGTAAATGCAATCCTGCTTGCCATGCAACCCCACTGGGTGACCCTGGGCAAGTCATACTCTATCAGCCACAGGGGAAGGCAATGGCAAACCCCCTCTGAAGAATTTTTCAAGAAAATCCCAGGAAGGTGAGGCTGGGGAGTGGCTTGGGAAAGTGAAGGGGGGAGCCCCCTCTATGGAAATAACAATGTTGTCCAAATGGGGTGCCTGGCGAAGAGGGCAAGCGGGCAGGCAAGCTCAGCAGGATTTCCACCTGAGGAAGAAAGGGCTGTGTGGCTGTGGGTGGCTCATGCCAAGAAATGTCCCTGCAGCTGCCTTCCTCCTCCTCCTCCTCCTGGCAAAAGGAGAGGGGAATAAAAGGGGGGAGGGACAGGAAACCTCAGGAGTTGCCAGAGCATCATCAGCATCCAACACAAGGGGGAAGAGAGAAGAGCCTGCCCCCTCCCTTCCCTTCCGCCCTAGCTAGCTGGCTTGAGCTAGCTAGCCAAGGCAAAAGGGGCAGAAGAGCACATGCCTGCCCCCTCCCTTCCCTTCTCCTTTGGTTAGCTGGCTTGAGCTAGCTAGCCAAGGCAAAAGGGAAAGAAGAGCACATGCCTGCCTCCCTCCCTTCCCTTTTCCTTTGCAACCAGCCAGTGTCTTTCTTACCCAAAGAAACTTTCCTCCTTGGGCACCTTGCAGGGGGAAGCTGAGCAGTTTCTGGGAAAAGGTGGGCATGGCAAGTATCTTGGTGCCCAAAGAGGGGAGGGAGCAAGGAGAGGACAGGGGCCATTTGCTCTGTTCCAAGGTGAGGCAAAGCTGGAGCAGCCCTGCTGGGTCTCTTGCCCCTCAGCCCAGACAGACATGGCTTGTTTCCTGCAGCTCTCCATTCGTCCTTCCTCTGTCCTGTCCCAGAATGGTGTACAAAAGAAATTTCTTGCAACTAGGGTTGCCATAATTCTCTTCCATGAAACCTCAGATGCAAGTCTATGAAAGCTTATGCTACAACTTCTTTCACAGTTAGTCTCAAAGGTGATACAAGGTCCCTTAGCATACTGATATTCCAGAGTAACATGACTTATGGTTGAGTCTGCACCACAGAATTAATGCAGTTTGACACCAGTTTAACTGCTACTGGCTCAATGCTATGGAATTCTGGGGTTTGTTTTTTGTCACAGAGCTCCCACAGAGAGGCCACATAGCTCACAAAATTACAAATCCCAGATTTCCATAGAATTGAACCATGGCAATTATAGCACTGTTGGACTGCATTATTTCTGTAATGCAAATTAAACCTATGTCTCTGAATTTTGGCCACTTGTAAGAGAACTTAGCAAAGATGGAATTTCCCCTCCACTTTTATGGGGCGCAGGGAGGGAGGAAGAAAAGCTCCCAAACAGCTATGAGACGAAGAGGGGCTCTAGGAATTATATCCTAGCCCATACAGCAAAGCACAATATCATCCAAAATCCACAAAACAGTGATATCTTTATTGGCCAACCAAAATACACAAAAAATATTAAGCTTTCAGAGCTCAACTGGCTTCTTCATTAGGCAAAGGTGTTAAAAATCAAACAGGAGAAAGGTATCAGTGTTTTGTGGATTTTGGATGTTGTTGTTTGCAGTATGACCAACACAGCTACTCCTGGATATGCTTTCTAGATTTCAGGATACTGCATTTGAGACACAACAGAAGAATCCTAAACAAGAAGGACCAAGGGCTGGGACTTAACATTTTGAGGTCTTTACCTCCAACAAAAGTCCAATGTTTTTGTTGTTTTTGCTGTTGTTGTTTTTAATGGGACTGCATTTAATGTGTTTTAAGCAGCATTTAAAGGTTTTTTCAGATGCAGCAACATAGAGACTTCTTGAGAAATTCATTATTATCTGCCAAAGGAGGGGGGCAGGTATTTTCACACAGGATTGAAAAAGAAACAAGGTTTCGCATTGTGTTGATAATGGACTTATTTGCAAATTTTATGGCCTGGACTTCACTGTTTGTCTTCCATATGCCCCCCTTTTTTTCCAACACACACACACACACAC